GTCCCTCGTGCTACTCAAAAACGCCAACGCGACGCTGCCACTACCAGCGAACGCGTCGATCGTTTCTCACGGGCCCGCCATCGACAGCATCGGGCACCTCTGTGGTGGCTGGTCGCTTGCGTGGCAAGGCAACGGCGGCAACGACATGTTTCCGCACGGGCAATCGGTGCTCGCAGCGCTGAAGACGGCGTGCCCCCGTTGTGCGTTGACGTCCTTAGTTGGCGTCGACTCTGCGGGAGCGTTTACGTCCCGACGGACATGGCCGAGGCGACGCGTCTCGCGGGCCAAGCAGCGTACACACTCGTCGTGCTTGGTGAAGGTCCGTACGCGGAGAAGCCCGGCGACATCCACGATTTGGCCCTTCCCGACGGCCAAGTCGCGTATGTTCGCGCCCTCGCCGCGACCAAGACCAAGCTCCTTCTCGTGCTCGTGGAAGGCCGGCCTCGGCTGCTGCAGGGGCTGCCCGACCTCGCCTCTGCCGTCCTGCACGCCATGCTGCCCGGTGAGATGGGCGGCGCTGCGATCGCGAGCGTGCTTCTCGGAGCGAGAACCCCAGTGGCCGGCTGCCGTACACGTACCCCAAGGCTCCATTGGATGCAGCGGTGACATACTACCACCGGCGCAACGCGGGGTGCAATACCAACGGCCTCTTTGGCGAGTGCGCGCCCGAGTGGGCCTTTGGGAGTGGGCTGAGCTACACGCGCTTTACGTACAGCGACGTGTCCGTGCTCGTCGGCGAGCACCACGCGCTCACGATCACTCTGGCCGTTCAAAACACGGGCGACCGCGACGGCGACCACGTCGTGCTGCTGTTTCTGCGCCAGGAAGCCCGTCGAGGCAACGCGCCCGAGACCAAGCGCCTCGTGTTCTTTGAAAAGTTGGCCGTCGCAGCCGGGAGTGCCAAGGTCGTGCGCGCCGAGCTCCGTGCCAAAGACTGGGGCATTTACACCAATGAAGTGGGCCACGGTCTCGAAAAACACGTGTCGCCCGGTGCGTACACGCTGCTCGTCTCCGAGGCGGCCGACTGCGCCAAAGGACAGTGCGTGCGCTTTAGAGCAGGTGTGCATGGCACGTACACGCCGACGACGACGGTGCAAGTGGCGGCGCAATCCCACGTTGCGTCCGTCTTGCGTTACCACATGTCTTTGTAAAACAGATGTTTCTAAACATTCGGACCGGGCTTTAGACCAGGGGGAGGACAGCCATTGTGGTTTACACCAAGGCTCGCGCGCCAGCGGCAAGCGTCCGCCTTGGCCGGCCATGGATGGTGGAACCGTCTTGTTAATGTAAGCCGGTTTATGACGAAAGACAAGAGTTACCTCCTCATCCAGTTTCTCGTCCTTGCCCGTGACCTCGCGCAATGACGTGGTTTCGGTGAGGCGCAGGATGGCAGGGACTTCTTTGGTGCGGAAGACGATCCGGAACTTATGAGGTCGTCCAGACGAGAGGGCATGTAGGCCGTCAGCAGCGCATTCGTGCAAACCACTTGACGAGGGCCGCGTGGATGTGGTGGCCGGGGACCGAGTCGAATAATGTGATGTAGTACTTGTACTTGTCGTCGTAGGGTGAGTGTGACGGTACCGGTATGTCGTTGCCGGCTTCTCCGTCAAGGATGAACGAGTGACCCGCGATCCTGTCGCTCGTCTCCTTGTCCGCCACCGCGATATACAGATCCAAGTCGGCGAGTCCTTGGTGAGCGCGATCGAGTTGCGGAGGGCGTGCCAGAACGGGCCTTGGTTGTACTTGCTGAAGCAAAAGCGCAGTACGTCCTCCTTCAGCATGCGGTAGTACGCGCCGATCTCGATGCGCGTACTACGTCAGCTGATGATGATCGGTGACATGTACTGGTTGATGTCCGCGGGATCGAAGACATAATCGCGCGACGTGTTCGAGGCTGTCGAGCGTATCGTCCGAGACAGGGTGCGTGCCGACCGAGCGTACGCTGGGGAGCGAGGTACCTTCGGGAACGGTGAGGTCGATGGTCCTTGCGGCGTGCTGCCGTCGTTGTTGTTGTTGAAATGGGTCATTTATTTTTAATGAGCAGAGCTCGCTGGAAGAAATTGTCTCATCTTGGCCTGTTGTTGGAGCAGCTGATTACGTCATCATGTGTTCTGGGTGACACTTGCGGAGGTGGCCCGGACCCACATGGTTCGACCCTGTTCGGGTACATCGCGCGACGCAGGGAGGAGGGGGGCGGAGAACTGAAAAATGCGCGCGCGCAGCCGGGCTCGAACCGGCGACCTTCGGGATGCGAAGCAGAAACTTTACCAACTGACCTGGGGCGCCCCCCTCTAAGCTGCCGTCGTTGTTGAAGTGAGTCGATTTAGATATAATTTACACTGAACTGGATATGGTGGTGGACTAGCGATTCCAAGGTGCTACGACGAGCCGGCCGCCGAGAGGCTTAGTCGTCGTTGGCTTGGGTCCGGGGAGTACGGAGGGGTGGGACTACTTGACGCTGATTGATCGAGGTAGGGGGTGGGATCCCGGTCAGGGCCTGGTTGTGGGGGGTGGTGGGGCGTGGCATGGTTGGAAGGCGGTGATTGGTTGGTGACTGGCTTGAGCGGTACAGTACCCCGGTACCGGTACAGGGCAAAAAAGTGATGTCTCTGCGGCCGTGTCACACGTGGCCAGCTCCGTTGGACTCACTCGAGAGGTACCACTCTACCCTCCTGTTCTACTGCCTCTGCAGTTTGCAATACGCCTCGACACCATGTACCTCGTCACGTGGCCGATCCGCGCGTACCTAGCGTGGAGTGGCCTCGCGCTGCTGTACTTTGTCGCGGTGCCGATCGTCCTCCTCTCGAGCTTTCTGCGGCCGCTCGTCCCGCTTGCTGACGCTGCGATCGTCGGAGGCTGCGTCGGTCTCTGTCTCGTCGTCGGCAGCCTCGTGCACGTGCGCCGCGCCGCCAAATTGGCGTCCACGACCCCGCTGCTGCTTGTCTTTTTTGTGCTGTCGGCCTCTGCGCGCTCATGGGGCTCCCTGCCTACTTGACGACGAGATCTGGCTTCTGGCGGGGATCGGATTCCGCCGCGTCCACCGCCGACGAATTGGCCCAGTTCGAAGCAAAATTTTCTGGACGGTCTTCCGCCGATGCATACGACGGCGATGGGTATCTCGCCCAAAGGGACTCGTACTGCTTTGAGGGTGACGCTGCCCTCAATGCCCAGTATGCTCTGGAAGAGACTTACTGTGCGCGCGAGGGCAAGGCGTACTGCACCTCGTTTCCTCTGCGGCAGACACTCGTCCAACCGCGCATCTTTGCCAACGAGACGGACAGGTTTCGCATCAAGGCGCTGCTCAACGCGCCGACCTTCTTTGGCGTCCCGATCGACGACGCGACGACCCTCTTGCAATTTTGCGACAAGGTGAATGCCAGTGTGCTCGCCGCCGAGCCATCCATCGATGTCGCGTGCGATGGCTGCCGTCACGCAGTGGCCGCGCCGGACGACACGTCTGCCTTTGGCGACTGGGTCCACGAGCATTGTCCGCTGACCAAGGTTGACGCGACGGCCGCCGTGTGCATCATGAGCCCCAGCCCCAAGCTGTACCCGTACCTGCTGACGTATCCGGAAGCCAAGCAATGCCGTCGCTACTTTTTGAACCAAATTTACCTACCAAGTCGTCTGCGCCTTTGCTACGAGGCGCAATTCGCTGGTGTGTTCGAGCGGCTCCTCGAGGCACTCGCGTACTCTGCGTTGGCCCTCTCTGTGCTGGCCTTTGTTATCTTTTGGACATTGGTGAGTGCCCAGCGCAAGCGCGACGAGATGGACGAAGACGACGAGCTGATGTACGAAGCCATGAACGCGCGGCCGTAAACGATTGGTTAATGGCTAAAAGCACTCTACCTTTCCATGACCCGCGTTCTTTCCCAGCATTTTGATCGGACCGGTACGTGAAAAATCGACAAAAGCACAGTAAACTGGGTGACTAGCTCTGAGGCACGACGTCTTGACAACGCCGTCCTCCTCTCATGGGATTGGCTAAACGCCATGTGACGTCACGCGCGATCTACTACTGCTTTTTGATGAGCGGTTCATTTTCGATTCCTTCCTAGCATTGCTCTTCGGTACACTAGTACGCCGCAGCGCCTGCTCACGCAGTTGCCCGAGAGTGTTCGGTGCGCTCTCCTTCCTCCTCTACTACGCGTAACAACGACGGCAACTAAGATCGTATTATGGGTACTAGTAGCGTCGCGCTCCAATATGCGATTGTGTTCGTCTCGATTCACTACTTGCAGTGGATGTGGGCGGCCACCGCCGTCCTCGTCTATCTCTACTACGTACGATAGCAAGACGCGCTCTTGAGTTGTCTCTCAGATCTTATCCTCATGTAGATGGGCTATGGCTATATGGCCGTAGCACTCCTCGCGCTCTACCTCCCGACGTACTTGAACGGCGCGCAGCGCAAGGTGACGCCGACGACGGGCGGGAAGCAGTGGACGAGCCTGCGCAACCATGGCAGGTGGGACCTCATGTGCGAATACCTCGAGTACTCCTGTAATAGGACAAGGTGCCGACGTTCCAATGGTCTTTTCTAGCATGGAAATTGTCCGTGAAGAAGCGCTGGATGCCACCAAGCAGGTGTGTGTGTTGCGATTCGGATTGCACATTTTGATCTTAAGCCTCCGTATTAGTATATACTTGCCTGAAGCCTGCCTCCCTATACCGTACGCAGCGAAGACAAAGTCTGACGTTATCTCTTCGTTTGGACTAGTACATTTCAATAGACGACCCACTTGAACAACAATATGAGGCTCGTCACCAACCAAAGTTTGTCTCGACCCTGACACACACACAAGAACTACTGTACTACTCCTTTAAGACGGACTGGCGGCATTAGTGTGGTCGCCATAACCATAAGTGTCGTCCTCGTCGTTGTTGGGCAATGGCTGCATGGCTAAGAAGCTTAACGTCGAGTCGGTTTTCCGCGAGATACTGTGGATCGTCTGCGCCGCCGTCGGACTCGCCGCGAGCGACGGGGGCTGGGGGTACGTCGGCAGCATGAGGCTGCCCACCCCTTGGGCCGGATCCGCGTCCTCTACATCGCTGTGTCAGTATTGCTTGTATCAGCATATGAAGCACCGTACGTTTGGTCGCTTCCTTTTTCCAAAAGGAGCTGGACTTGGGTCTTGAGGCGCTGAATCTCGCGCGTTTGCTTGTCGATCTTTGCTTGGTACTCGTGGACGGCCGGCATTGACGCCACTTTATGCAGGTCACGCTCGCGCTCAATCGCAGTGAACGGCAAAGCGCCTGCCAACG